CAACCCAAACCATTTTGTGATTCCTCTGTAGTGGGTGAATATGAACATCCCATGAGAGCAAGGGTTTTCACAGCACTCATCACTTTGAGTTGCCTTTCCCTGCCTTTCTTCTTTTAAGGCCTTCATCTTTTGCAGTCTCAGTTGAGAGCTGTGATGACTCCTCTGTCCAGCACCAGGGGAGCCTCTGGGGAGAGAGGCTGTGGCACCCTCTGCTTTCCTGGGACTGGAAGTCCCCCGAAACATTTAGGGTGCCGAGTCCACTCTAGGATGCAATATGTGACCTCTGTCCTTGCATGTCTCTTGGAAAAACACAGTCTCAGTTTGTATTGGTTTGGAATATTATTTTCAATGTTGCTTGCACAGAAGGAGATCAGTTGAAATTAGGGATTACCTCTCACCCACTCCCCCTGCCCCGAGCAGCAGTGGCCCAACCTGAGTTTCCCAGTCTGAGCTGGGCCCTTCAAGTAGGAAAGTACTTTTTTTTTTTCTCTCTTTTTTTTTCGCCTTCCTCACTAAGGAAGTGTGATACATAGTTGGAGATGTCAGCCTCTCTAAAATAAGGCACATTGTCAAAACAAAATCCTTAACTTTTGGAAAGGATCTGAGTAAAATTATTAATCTGACTAATTAAAACTATTAACCTGATTATTCAGACTTGGAATTTCTGATGTATTCACTGTATCTTTTTCCAGTTTTCATCCGGGCATGAATTCTGAATAGATGAGGCTACTTCAGAAGTGTAGAAGAGATACAACTTTGTGTTAAATAAAATAGTATGAGGTTCATACTCTCATTTTTGTAGTTTGCAGTGAGAGTGCTGATTTTAATCTCTGGCTGTGCTGCAAAATGTTTAGTTTTGAAATAAGGTCAACTTGAATTGACAGAATTCAATTGATTTTCATCATCAGGTTTCAGTGCTTAAGAAAATATTCCTCACAAACGTGAAGCAAAAATGTACATACATCTGTGACTCTTTGCTGTTAGGCAGTCATTTGCGGGGGGGGGAGATGGAGCAGAAAGGTCAGCGACAATGCACCAAAATTGCCACTACTGTTATCTTTTGTAATGTCTTTTTTTTGTTGATCTGTCAGATATGAACCCATCGCTCATATGCTTTTTTTAAGGGGCTTTTTTTACAGGGCTGGAACATCTCTCAGAATTTCTAAGTAGCCTGTGACACAGATGGTAGGGTCTGGTTAAAACCAAGAGGACACATGTGCTGGAGTATTCCATTTGAATTTGCTCTGGGACAATCCTAGTAAATGCTGCTTTTCAAGAGCAGACTTCACCAGAACGCATAGCTCTGAGGCAGGATTAAGCTAGGACAGCCACAGACTGGGGAGCTGAAAAGCCCTTGCAGAGTCTGGTTCTGCAGCAGATGGCCAAGTCGCTTGTGGGACTTGTTGCTTCTGCTGGGCTCGCAGGTTTTCCTGCCTTCCTCTGGGAAGCTGAAGATCCAGGAATTCAGGTTCAGTTTTAGCTGCAGATAGTCGAACTAAATTGTGTTTATTAGTTTGAAAAGCAACTTTTTCAGATTTGTATATTCTCTAAAGGAAGAACAGACAACTCATTCAAAAAAAAAAAAAAAAAAAAGCGGGCAAGCTGTAGAAGAGAATTTCTGGTTGTTTTTTCCAGCCACAGTGATAACAGTTTGGAAAGGAGTGGGGATATATGTGTGTGTAGTATGTTCCCTTGTTTCTTTTCAGAAGGAAATAACTACTTTTGAGCTTTTTTAAGAGCAAAAATTGGAAGCATTCTGCAACACAATAATTGTGGTAATTAGACATCGGTAGTGACAGTAAAGCTGCATTGGATGAAATGTTGTATGAAACTATGAAATGTTTCATACAAAAAATGTTCTATGAAACTGAAGAATCACAAGTGTGAATTGAAATTGTATGTCTAGATAGATACCTAGATATGTAAGATGAAATAAAAACATTTTTCAGCCAGGAAGACTGTACTTTTTCTACTATATAACAACAGGAATTTTAATTCGAAAATACTTGTGTATTTATTGCAGTTGGTACACCTTATTATATGTCTCCAGAGAGAATACACGAAAATGGTTACAACTTCAAATCTGACATCTGGTCTCTAGGCTGTCTGCTCTATGAGGTAATATTGATACATACAGTGGGCTTAATAACCCTGTTGTGTTCTGGTGCATTATGTTTTTCACTGCATTAAGTACTGGTTTAGGATCTGTTTCTGTTGTTTAGAAACGTTAGTAGTGTTGTGGAAAAGCTACGTTTCAGCTCTTCTATGTCTGTCTAATATTAGCAATGAAAACTATGACATAACTTCCCCATATGAAATACTTTTATTTATGTTACTCAAGACTTGCCTTTTACTGGGTTTGTTACAAAGATAATTTGTTGAAGACTGGGAGGTTGGGCATAACTGAAAGATGAGTAAATCAGTAATGGCAAGCACATTTAAAATTGTTTTAATGGCCTATGCTGATTGTATGATTTTGGTAATGTAATTATGAAACAGTAGGACTGACTTGAGTACGCAACTAACGCTTTCAAAAACCGCTATGTAGTTATGTGAATACAAGTTTAATTTCTTTAGAATTATTTAAACACTAAGTAAAACAGTAAGAATGAAAGGGTTACTGTGTACTTATTACTACAATCTTGGTTTGCCTTTCAAGATAATGATCTCTATACACAGGCATATGTAATTTTCCAACTCAATTTTATTGTATACATTTGTGATTGGTAGGTGATATACAATTTTAAATGATACTGTATTCTGAGAGAACAAAGATACAGGGCAAATTGAAATTGAGGTGTGAATAACAGGTAGGCTTGTAAGGCAAACGATGTCTTCAAAGTACTTTGCATGTCATTTGTTGCTCAAAAGACTAAACATTTGTGTAGAAGGATGCTAGAAAAAATTTCCTTCCATCAGCAATGGCAGTTAAGCCTTTTTCGTCATGTTTCAGATAAAAACTAATATACACAACTCACTTTTCATTTCCCTGTAAGCAACTTGTGTCAGTGATTCAGCAGAATTTGTTAATAACACCTCCTGTTATTGTAGGATTTTGTGGAAAACACTGCCAGCCTATTAACGTAGTATACTACTAGGTGAATTGTCTCCAGTGATACTCGTTTCCTTTCTGTCACTAAGATGTTGCTTTAAGTAAGAAAAGTGCAAATAGATAAATAGCAATTCTGCAGAGTTATAAATGCATGTATAGGTGTTGCTACTAAATCTGTGGGGCAGTTCACAGGAATGAAGTCTGATACCTGATAGCAGGTATTCAGAAGTTCAAGTTCTGAACTGAAACTTAATCCAGTATTGGGCTTCCTTAATCCCAATCCCATATCGGGACCGTGGCAGTGGCCATCAATTTCAATGCTCTGCTTTACGCACTTGTGCAAGCAGGAGCCTAAAGATATCATAAAGGTAGATGAGGATTGTTTCTGTGTTTCTACTTACTACTTGTCCCCTCATTGCTTTTCTTGGGGATTTTTAAAATACGGAAACAAACAAATAAATCCCTTAAATAATTATTATATAAAATAAATACGTTCTATGTTTTCTTTTCTTCTGTGTTATATGAAGTAAAATTTCTGGGTAGAAATCAATAGCAGTTTTCTAAAGATTTTTTTTTTTTGAGCTTGCTGTTTTGATGCTGGTATATTAAACACCAGTGTCAATATTGAGTTTTTTTTTGATCTGGTAAATAATTTCAAAATAGCAAAATATCTTATTTCCATTGCTTAACACAGCATTTTTAAATACCATACTATTTTTATTTATTTTAGAAGTTTTACTAGGATGGTATTTAAATTGATACGGTGTTGTGTTAATTTTTTTACATATTGTAAAAATAAATTCATTATTAGGATACTTGTTGTCAGTGTATAGGTAATGTATATGGCAGTGTCTTCAACTGTAGCTTTTAGCTTTTCTTTGGAGATGCTTTTATCCCACTGAGTTAATTTTACAGCGTACCAGATGTTTGTGGTGGGGTTTTGTTTGGTTGGGTTTTTTCATTGTTGTTTGTTGATATTGAGATGTAATTTTGAAATTTTTAGGTAGAGGAGTCTCAAAATACTTGCTGAGTATTTCCCCCTATTTTTTTTAAATTATTTGAAAGTGGTTAGTAAACATTCTTCAAGACATACATGGACTCGTGCATGGCATCTTTATGATCCGTACAGTTTTATGGTGAATATCATTTTTTGATATGCCTATTGCCTGCTTTTTAGCATGTTTTATTATATTGATTTCATGTTGATATGTGCTCCTGTGTACTCTGGATTGTCTCCAGCTTAATTGGAGAAAAGCTGTGGCATGTTTATCACTTCTCAATAAATGCTTAATTGCTGCTAAACTATTTTCAGTTATGTTTTAAGTTTAGAGCAATTTGCTATAATATTTTTTTTAAAGTTATTATTTCTAACCTATATTACAGTCTATTATTCAGTGCTAACTATGGGGCTAGGAAGATTTTTAAAAGTCTATTTTAAAGTATGGTTTTTTTAGAGCCCCGGGTGTTTCTGAAACCTCAAAAACACTACCACTGGAGTTTTAATTGATATGCAACAAAGTAGACTTTACTAATTAAAATCAAGATGCTGTGCTTTTGCTACATGGACCTTTACATGGAAAAGTAGGTTTTACACATTTCCTTTTATTGTTCAGCGTAGCAATTGCATCCTTACAGGGTTGTAGGTTGGTGGCTTACAGTTCAAAAAAAAAAAAAAGGGGGAAAAAAAAGAGAGAGCGCGAGCTGCCACCAGCCCCGAAGACAGACAGTGGGCTTTCGTCCCTCAGACACCCCCAGAATACTAATCAGGAAAGTCAGACCCTGGAGGTCAGGGAGCAAGTCAATCATTCTAGCGATCGTCTCAGTGTGGAGGATCAAATTAGCCTGAAAAATTCAGCTGCTGGGAGGAGAGGGCGAGCAGCTGTCAGGGGCAGCAGCGAGATGCACTAATGAACCAGATGAATAGTGCAAAAGCTTGAAAATAAAAACAGGACAGTTGACATTTTTCATCTGTCAAAGCAGGAGATGCATGAAAATATAGTATTCCTGTTTTAACTCCTTAGGGGACATTCAGAATTTTTTTAACACTCCGTAGCATTCAAACAAAAGTACTTTTTGGTGAACACCTAGAGTAGGAAAATTAGTATCTGTGCGTTTATTTAGAATTTTGGAATGTGTACAGATCCTGCAGTTGATTTTTTTCTTTTTTTTTTTCTTTTGGTCTTTTAGCTTGCATTTTTAATGTTCTTTTTAAGGTAAGAGACAATGTCCTGTAAACCAAAAATTGGTATTATTTTGATAATACAGAGTTTTTGGGGAGGACTGTAGGATGGAACTGTAGTATGGTAATTGGTTTTGGAGCTTTAAAATTATTTGTTCTTCCTTGAAGGTAATGTGGAAAAGTACTTAAGTATTTGAGAGCATTTTTATCAGATGTAAATTAAATGAAAAGGAATTTTGGTAATTTCCTTCATGCGTTTTCCCCCAGTGTAATTGCTGCTTAGACATGAAAGAGTTAAACTGCTATCTGGAAGACCACAAGACAGATGAGAGCCATTTTCAGCTTGTCCTGTCCCTGCTGAAGCTCACTGAGTAGCACAGCATGGACTAGCGTGTTTCACACACACTCTGCCTGTCTGGGGAATGTACACATTGTCCTTCCAAAATCAAACTTATTAGCACATGTAGAAAAGGGTGACTGACTTTGGGGCAGCACTGCACTCAAAGCAGCATTTGTGCTGCTGCGGTTCAAAGACTTAGAAGACTTTGAACAGAATGGAGAGATTTTAAATGAATTTTTAAACTTGTAATCCTGCTAACCATAACATTTGTTTCTACCTTAAATGTCAAGTTGTAACATTGTCTGGAAATAAAGTTTACTAATGTTCATCGTTTATTTAAGTGCTCTCCAACAGCTATTCTTATATTTATTATTACAATTACAGATTATTTTCATGGGTGCCATTTCTGCATTTCTGATGACATGTTGGGTTATCTTTTTTTTTTAAAGTGTTTTTGAATATTATACTGAATTATTAAGTTTTGGGGTTTTTTTTGGAAGTATAGACATTACCTTTAGTTTTTTTTAAAAAACAAAACACTTTATCAAAATGTAGTATAATAGGTATGGAATGTTACAAAATCTACTGCTGTTACGCAGCATTTTCACCATACAGTATTGCTTTAGATCAGATAGTGTTTTCAAATAAATTATATGCTTCTTCCCAAAAGGTCTTCAGAGAGATATTACATTTCAGGTTTGGGTCTTTTTTATCTCCCTTGTGGTGCAAGGACTCTCTGCACTCACAGCAGTATCGGAAAGTACTCAATTTTTCCTCGTGCTCTATTAATACGACTGCTGTGGTATACAATTCAAATATTGCGGTGTAATGATTGTGACAGATACAGCGTAGAATAAGTACACACATTGGTTACAGTAGTAGTTTTGAAACTAGCAGCGAACTGAAGTTGTTAAAAATCACTTCTGATTTGTTAGTATTACAGGTTTTATGATAAAACAGGTTTATTTAAAAGCACAAAAGAAGACTCTACGTTTTCTTTAAACAGATGGCTGCACTGCAGAGTCCTTTTTATGGTGATAAAATGAACTTGTACTCCCTGTGCAAGAAGATAGAACAGTGTGACTACCCACCTCTCCCTTCAGATCACTATTCGGAGGAAGTAAGTAATTTTTCCTTTTGTGGGCTAGATCCTTAGTTTATGTAAGCTGGCACACTTCCAGGTAAGTAAATGAACTTGTGTGATTTTGTTATTTGCAGATTATGCCCATAAGTGTTTGCTTGTTGAACTTGCTCAAATGTTCCAGTCAAAACAAGTCTCTGAGATGATTTTAAATTTGGGGGATTATGATGGGAACTTCACACTGTTATGCGCTTAATTTCATTGAGTTCCTTGCAACTATGACAAAATGCTTTCCCAGAATGCACAATGATATGTTCTGCTTGCCAAAATGGGATTGAGTCTTACATCTATAGTATGCTTTTTTAAAAGCACAGCTATACAAGTTTATATTGCACAGTAAATTAGTGCACTAGCCTTGTTTCTCTAGGGGCTTGCATTAAAATAGATACAATGTAGCTCACTAGTAAAAATGAATTGTTTAGTTCCCACTTGTCTGCATTATAAAACTGCGATGTGCTGTTCAATACAATTGAGTGGCAGTTCTTTTGCAAGAAAGAGTGGTTCTTGACAACACTAATAATAAATTTCAGAGAAATATAGGCAGACATAATATAATTGAATATGAACAATATACTCATGCATATTGCAGCAATGTTTGCTTTAAGCTCGTAGGTAACAGTTCTTTACTGTCATTAATGCATTTAAGGGGGTACTTGCTTTTTTTAAGCTTTAAAATATAAAGAAACTAAATAAATATTTTTCTTTGTGTGAGTAACAATGAAAAATATAAATACTTGCCTGTTAATGTTCTGAGATGCCAGTTTTGAAATACTCTCTCACTTTGAAAAGAACAGGGCAAACTTACAGAAGCTGTAAACCAAAGAACATGTATTAGTAACCAATTCTAATTGAATTCAGACTACATGAATTAAAGATTACTTTGAAAACGCAAATAAACATGAGCACTGAAATACTTTAATAAACATAAAACGTTGTGCAGTTCCATTTATAGAGTAGGGGTTGTAATTCTGAACCTTAAATTTTTGTTTACATTCAAAGACAGTGATTGGGCTGTTAATAAAAGATTACTGCCCAATATTTTCTTTTTTTGTATATGTAGTGAGAATTTCACCTTGCATGCAAAAAAAAACCCTGGACTTTAAAGATGACGCAGTAATGTTACAAAGGATGGAATAATGATTTATTGTGTAATTTATGCACTATACCTCTTTGTGAGTTTTCCAATTAGTCCTTTTACCTGGGCTGTTTTTAATTATTATTTATTTTAAACTATAAATATGGCAGTTCATATAACCACTTCAGAACTGGAGGCCTGGAAATACAGTAGGGTGTGAACAATAATGCAAAATGATAGCAAGAATGTCAGGGGCTGTTCTTTGTTGTGTCATTCATGCTGTCTTCCTTTTTCCATGAAGCGCATGAATATTTCACATATCTGCATCCTCATCCTCTATTCTTCTTGACTAATTTTCAGACTGTCTGAATTTGCATTTCACATGGTAGCTGATTAGGAGATGCGGAGTGCAGCGGCAAAGCCTCAGCAGGCAGTTCAGCAGGATTTTAATGATGATACCACTAGTGGTTTGTTGAAGTTGGCCTGCCTGCAGGGCTACTTCACTGCAGCTAAGTGTGAAGTTGGATATGCGGATTCCCAGCCAAGGGGCAAATATCAAAGTCTGGCCTGGATAGAAGGTCTTAAGAGTTTGGATGGGGAAAGAGATTCCATCTTTTACTTACATCTGTACAGTTTCTGGTATTGAAAACAGATGCAAAGCTCAACGTGTTACGTTTTCTTTATTTCGAAGCAGGCACGTTGTTCTGCACGTTGGATAAACCAGTTATTTGCGAAATACACTTAAGTTACTTTAAAACAGAGAATCACAGCTATGATAGGTATGAAGATAGGTCTGAAAATATTTACGTAAAAGTAGTAATCAACTATGGAGGCGAAGAGGAACATTTTCTTATGTTCTGATATGAAGACTTGTGTCTTCACTAAGCTACATGGGAAACCAGATATGTTTATTAGTTATTGCACCAAAATAGACCTTTTTTTACTTGTATGAAAACATACTGTGCTGGCATGAGGTATGGAAAAAACCTAGAAAAAACCAAGTTTTAGCTGTCATATTAGGATGCTGTCCTAAATGAATGTTTCACCTGTATGGGAAGTTTAGATATCAAACCCTGAACCAGGTTGGAAGCACATTCAATGAGCAGTAAAGACCCCAGGAGTCACTGAACACTAAAACTCACTTCATATTTTATAACAAAGAACTTTGCGGAAAAAAATACTTCACTGTCTTGATCTCTGCATCCTCTGATATATAAAGCATAAATACTTTCATTACAAAACACAAGGCAAATGCTTTGAGGAGAAAACTTTGTATGTAAATTTAGTGAGTTTTAAGATGTGACACTTTTTCTAAATTTGGAACTCTTATAAGACTAATCTGTTAGTAATGTATTGCATCTGTGTCAATCAGAGAACAGTGTTACAGAAAGATGCACCTTAAGATAGATGGATTTTTTTTTTTAACTTTGATTAGTAATCCTGATAGTGTAAGAGAAGCATTTTAACAAACTATTTCTTCAGCAGTAGAGTCGTAAGCCAAAATTTTCAAGTGTTTAGCAACTTTGGATGTCTCAGTTTTTGAATATTCCTTAAGCATATCTGGTATTCAGGGCGAGTACTCAGCATGTCCTGAAAGCTGTTCTGCTTTAGGGAATTCAGAGCTGGGGCTCCTTTGCCATCCCCAGCCATTATCCCTAAGTCTTGTCAACCAGTATTAGTATCCTGTTGCTTTCATGATAGATGAAGTTTTTTTAATGTTCCTTTTGATTGAGGTGCATTTCTACAGTCCATAACCTCCTACCCACTCATGAAGGCTTAATAAGGCAGCAGGTCCACTATTGGCAGTATTAGTTGCCAGCAGAAGGTCTTGAGGATAACGCTGAGAAAGGGTTTCAAGAAGGTCTCCTATTCAGAGTAAGAATGGTTTTGTGGTGATTTTTGTAATCCAAGATTTCCTATATGAAAATTTTTTCAACTGCCTAACAATGCAAAGTACTTGCCTGTCATGTTTCTGTCTTCCCCCTTCTCCTGACTTGAGTGATAATTATTTATTTCATAGCTGAAAAACCTGCTAAAGTTAAAGAAAGCATGTCCCACTGCTCCGATGTCAGGCTAAGCTCCAGGCTAAAGACAGTCATTGTGCTAAGTGCACAGAGGAGGTTAAGAACAATGAGCAGCCAAAGAAGTTTGCAGCTTGGGGATGCAACAGGAGGTCCCTCCAGCTCAGTCATAAGTCTGCTCTGCCTGTTGGCCAGTCTATGACAGATAATAAAAAAATTACTCTAATGATAGTCAGAATTTAGAATCCCAGTGCTTCTTCCCGTGATACTGTCAGGCTCTTCTGCGACGTCACAAATTTTGTTGACACTACAGGTGTTGACAAATGGATTTCAGGTTTATTGAAAGGGATGATCCTGTTGGAGTTAAAGGACTAGCGATATAACCAAGTGTTAACATCCAGCATGGTCCCACTTTCAGTCCTGAAAGGCTTTCTTCCTGTGTAACTGTTTTCAGCCTGTACAGCAAAATTTATTCACCTTCTCCCAGAATAAATTTCTTTAAGATCTACTTCTGCTGTTCTACCTATAGTAAAGTTATTGATATACAACTGGTAAAAACAGGAGAAAGAATACTGTTTCCCCTCTGATAGCTTTATAGGTTTCAATCCTTCAAGGTTTTTTGCTGAGACTTTTATTTACTGTATGCAGTTCTATTGAACAGATGGAAGTCTTCATAGAGGAAGATAAATGCATACATACAAGATCTGATGTCGTATTCTCCAGCTAAATTACACTTGTGTTCTCTTTATAAAAGGTTTACTTATTTGAGTCTAATTTCAAGCTTCAGGTTTTGGATGTTTTTCAGTCTTTCCTGTTTTCCATGCAGGCTGAGGTGCTGCATAGCAAGCTGCTCATCTCTGCTAATACGTTGTGCCTATTGCTTGCACTCTGTCCCACCTGCTGCATCTACAGGAGATTGCTTTGCTTTGTATGTTTGTTTTACGTGTTGGCAATTATTATTTCTTACAATAGTTCATGATTCCAGCATTCTGTTCTCCAGATGATTGGGAGTTATTACAGGCTAAGAGTTTTTCCTGTCAGTGGTATTGAGTTTTATTTATTGGTTGCCAGAAGCAACGTGATGGCTTCTGTAACTCTGTTAGTCAAAATATACTTCACATATTTAAGATTCAAATAGCAAGCCTGTTGCAGATACCTTTGATCTAATGTTTCTTTTCAGTCCAGAAATCTGACCACTATCTTCAAAATTAATGGTCTCATTTTTAAATACCAAGATCATCTTCCTAAAGAATGGGATGTATAGTGACACAGTTCTTGTATTGTTAAATGTGCAAAACCTGTACATTGTATACAATTTACAATGATTCTGCAGGGGCTAATGGACAGAGTTTTAAAAAGTGATATGCAGTGTTTCTTACTTGACTTCTGGACTTCCTATTGCCATGCATTTAAATTAATCTTCTAAAAAGTGAAAGTAGTATAATTACAATTTAAAATCTTTCTCTTTTTTTAATAAAAAGTAGGAAGGAAACTCTGGTGGCAGATTTGAATATGCAGTCTGTGTTACTTTAGAATAATCATGGTCATGAGTATGCTCTGTGTTAGTTGCAGTAATTACAGGTTTTTCAGTAGTTGTACTTAAAAGTACTGGGAGGGAGACTGAATCAAATTTGACATATTGCCATAGCAGGGGGATCGCTAGGTGTTGTGGGGTTTTTTTTGTTGTTGTTGTTTGGGTGTTTATTTTGGTTGGATGGTGCTTTTTCTGTTTTGGGTTATTTTTACCTTTTTTATTTTCACCCCAAATGGTATAAGGAGATCCAGGAGGATTTGGCAAAGCTACTAAAAAGCAAAAAGGAGTTGGTTAAGTTGCTTTTGCAAAGAATTGTAAGCATTTTAATAAGTTGTCATGAAGTAGGTGTGTATTCCATCTGCTTAGGAAATACACACAGTTTAGAATAGATGCCCCATCAGAAGGTTATTCAGACTGTGTTAAGTCACCTCAGGCATATCAACAGAGGAGGATAAACCTGCAGCTTTCCCAGTTTGTAGAGGCAGTGAGAAGGGTCTGAGTGATGTGAAAGTTCTTTGGGGTTGCTTCTGTTGAATAGGTGCACTGTAGAAGGCCCAGTAAATTACCATGTTTGTGGAAACACAGGGATTTCTAGTCATAGCAATTTGTTTAGTTCCAGATTGAAGCTTCTGTGAACATATTTGTTAATTATGTGCTTCTTTCTATAAAGAAAATAAATCAGTGATCTAATACTAAGAATAGATATTGGAACATAGACCAAAAGTTATTTATTCCAGTTTCATGTCTCCAGCAGTGAACAGGTGGAGTAGCAGGACCAGCATATTTTGATACTTCCCCAGAATACTTTCCCAGCTACCAGTTTTTTAAATTCAGAGATTTACACAATGGTGGAGTCCTTTATATTAAATAGATTAAATAGGCCTCAGTGAGTTTAATTTGTTCAGTTGCTTTCTGAATGTGTGTATGTCAGTAGTTTCTAGCAGCAAGAGGTTCTGCAGGTTAATGTTACAAGGAGAATCACTGCCTTTTGTTTGTTGGACCCTGCCCTGCACAATGTCATTTATTGTTGGCTAACTCGTGTATTGGGAGACCATGAGCAAGCAGTCCCAATATACCTTCTCCCTGTGAGTTTCAGCCTCCTGCAGTTTGCAGGCACAGCCCTCCAAAAGCACAAAGTTTTGCTTAGATGATGTATAATGGGACTAAATGCATGTTTTAAGTTCTAATCCTGTGAACATACAACTTTAATCTGATCATTGTTTGTTCTGGACAACGGTACAAAATGTAAAAATCATGGGAGGATGTTGCATAAATGCTTGTGTAAAACTGCAGTGAGTATCGAGGGAGGGAGGGTTGAGTGTGTGTTTATGCAGATTGGCTATGTTTGGCTAATTTTTGCCACTCTTACTAATTTGAATTTGATAATGCACAAATACTACTTGATAGGATCGTTGGCTTTCTCACATGTTCTTTTCCTTTCCTAGCTGCGACAATTAGTTAATATGTGCATCAGCCCGGATCCCGAGAAGCGTCCAGACATAACCTATGTCTATGATGTAGCGAAACGTATGCATGCACACACTGTGAGCAGCTAAACAGACATCAGATCACGAAGAAGAGAGCAGAAATAACCAAGTGTTTTAAATAAATCATCCCACCTCTTAGTGTTACAGAAATATAATTTTTTGAAGCTTACTGTTGTGCTTTGAATTGTAAACCAATTTATATACAAACTGTTCTTTCTTGTTTATTTCTATTTTTTAATAACTTGCAGTTTTATAACAGGTTTAAATACGTAAAGCATAACCTTAAAAGATACAGACTACCACTGTTTTCCATGTTGAGTGGGTTCAAGTGTATTTTCTTTAATAACAATTGTATTCAGTTGGGCTGCAGTTCTAAAACACAGTTGCACTTTTGCACATGATACAGATATTAGGCTTATTATCCAGAAGCAAAATGTCTGAAGCTCTCACCTCTTTAGTAATTTATGGAAAGTATGAGTCAGCACAGTTAACTTTATTTTAATCTTTGTTCTGAGAGAAACATAATTATTATAAGAGTTTATTGTATTTTATGTTGAATTGCAATTTCCAGTTCTTAGCCTAAGAGTAGACAGGTGATAGGATTAGTTCGCTGCTTGCGGAATGTGATGGGAAAATAGTTTTGGGAAAAATGATCATGCTGAAATTTTTGTAATATCCCTTTTCATTTTATTTTTCTGTCATAATGCACATAAAAGATTTGTTGGAGTTTTTCTGGGAAAATTTAAGGTGTTGGTTCTGCAATCTGATTGTTGCCAATAGACTTGTGCAGCACTGCCCTGAGGCCATAGGAATCTGCACAGTTAAGTCTTAGAACCGTGCAGATGCTTCTTGTAGCAGCTAGGGTTCTTTGGAGGCTAGCGTTTATGAGAAGGTCTGATTAAAAGATGCAGTCGTTAAGTTACTGTTTCGCAACCGTATATGTATATGTCACTGTTCATGGATTTTTGTGTTTAGAATAATTTGAATGACCGTATATTTTAAATGTGTTCTTTTTTTTTAATACAGAAACCTTTTGCAAAAGATAGAGGTGTAGTATAACACAAAATGTATTCTTCATGAATATCTGGTTTTGTATGCTGTATCCTGAGATTTAGTTTTATATTTAGCAAAATTAAATTTTAGCTTTTATGTTTAAAAGAAGTTGTCACTCTGTCATTTGGGAAATAAATATTTATACGAAATGTCTTACAAATGCTTTATCAATTGTAAAGAAAATTCAGAATGTTTCTGTTAGGCTTTACCTTTTTGGGTATGCTTAAATAATATTCTTATTGTTAAGGAAGGAAAGCTTCTTGTTTTTAAATGTAGTAAAAATGGAGAACGGACTGAAAGTTCTTGGGTTTCAAGACTGAAATTTTTGGAGAAAATACAGAACTGTCAAAACAATTATTACCAGTGATATTGCTGAGAAGCTGTTACTGTCAGTTAAATCTTTTTCCTTATATGTGTAGAAAGAAGTTAGTTCAAATAAAGCAGCAGTACGTTCATACACATAGAGATTCTAGATGCAGTAGTTTCCCTGCATGCTCAGATTTTTGTTTGTTTTTTTTCTGTGCAGTTTTAATTTTTGATTTGAGGTAACGCTCAAAGAATAAAAATCTATCTGTGGGGTTTGTGGATAAAATGTTCAAGCTCGGTCAGGGTTTTTTCTGGTTTTTTATTTTTTAAAACTACCACTACTATGGAAATAGTGTTTGGAAAAATGCAGGAATTTTTAAATGGTATGTACCAGATCATCAGCTTATCTTAATCAAATTTTTTTTTTTAAATTTTTGCTTCCAGACTTTGAAGGATGAATTGTTCGTTTTCCTTCTAGCTTCTACGTATACTTTATCTTGTAGGACCTCAATGGAACAATTTGTAGGGGGCAAATATTTAAGAAACCTTGGTGTGTGTCTAGCAACATTTAGATTTGCTTTCACTTATTATCTGATTATTGAATTTTCAAAATTATGGTTATTTTCTATAACAATAATTCGTGTTATAGAACCTAACAGTTTATATTAGAAAAGGCAGCACAATACTTGATTGACTGCCAGGATTCTCTCTTAATATGCCCAAATACTCAATCTTCTTTCCCTTGAAATTTACTAGAACATTTAAATATCACTGGAAAAAAAAATCTGGTGCAGTCAGACTATTTGCATCTAATATTATGTATCAAGTGTCGTAACTTTCCCTGAAAGAAACCAATAATACATTCTCCATGCCACCCCCTCTCCTACCCCACCAATCTGGAAGGATACACTGAGTAAAGAAATCATGAGTTAAGAGTCAGCAAACGTACATGCTTAAGCATTCAAAATTTTTTATTGTTATTTTTTTAGTATTGATGATTAAATCATGCGCTGAGGAAAAGAAATAATTTTTCCTATTTTAAAATCTGTAAAATGAATGGTACAAATTATGTGTACCAAATTTAATTCTTAAGTTCTTATAATTAAGCAGCCCGTAGGGTTAATAGAACTGCTTGTGTAACTGGGGGTTGTAGAATCTCCGTCCTCTAATTAAAGCACCTATTAACATATGAAAATGATAATGTCTGTTACAGCACTTCCATAGGAGCTCATAAAATATTTTCTTATATAAAACACCATTCTACTTTTCATATGTTGTTGATTGTGACATTTGGCACTATTTATTTTAAGCTATGGAATTACGTGTTTATTTTCTTGAAAGAGAACCTGTTACGTTTCTAGCCAGAATGTCTGGCTAGCTCCTCCTTTTATTTCAGTAATGCTACGGTGTTATCTTGCTTCATGAGTGAACTTTTTGCTTTGAATGACATTGCATAAAATCTTTGTCTTGTCTGGAAAGCTCCCCTGCTGAAATAAAATAGAAATAAAACATATAGATATGAAATATAATGTAAAATTATAGTGCTTCGACAATATTTTTTCAAACTTTTCTTGTTATGTTACAGTAGATGCTACCTATCTTGTGGACAGTTTAGTATTTCCAGTAGTTGGTTGTAGGTGAGTTTTCCTGACTGCAACAAAAGACAGTACATTAAAAAATTTTTGTTTTCATATTATTTGTCCAAAATGTATCTAAGAATACTACAACAGATATATTCACAACTAACCCCAAGGGTTTGTTTATCTAAATTTTAAAAACAAATCTAAAATTATTTTCAAACCATATGAAAATATCTGAAAAGCGTTATGGCTCTAGTCCTGTGAGCTCATGTTTATAGGTAGGCTGGTTTTATGTAATTTTGGTAATGTTGAGTGAACCTCATACACACACATGAATAAATGGTAATGTCACCCTCTTCTGTTACACTCTGGCAAACCAGCTACCAATTGTACGAGCAGGCAATACAAGTATGTTGTCGTTTTGTAATGAGCAGAAATTTTAAAAGCATGCCAATATACAGGCAGATGAAATATAGTATTAGAAATGTCTGAGGAGGCTCGTGTTTCATTTATGGTTATGATTAAGGAAGCCATAGAGTGAAATTCTTGCCAGAGGCTTGGAAATGGAGAAGGATCTCTTAATGGGACCCAAAATTGCTGTGATGTTTGTTTTCAACAATCAGTCCACTTAATCTCTGTCTTTGTTGTTATGCAGTGAGATGAGAATCTTAATGTCTGAGTTTGAATGCTGTGTCAGGTATTTGGGCTTCTGGGAACAGGAGGTTGATTTGAGGGAGTCAACAAAAGTCTTCAGGTCTTGCTTTGTGGAGAGTTAATCTAATCTGCAAGTGAAGGTGCTGGATAGCAGAGTTGAAATCACCGCTTTTCCGCCATTTTGTCATACTTCTTTAAAGTCAAACGTTCTTCCAACCCTGCCAATATCCCCACATGTAGCTAGTGGCAGTGCTGGTCTTCTGAATTTCTGATCTGTGGTTTGGTCTAGGCAAATCACTAAACCTTTCTGCCAAGATCTCCCAAGGAGGGAAATACAGGCGCTCGGCATGCCCAGTGAGGTGTTGCTTGTTTCTGAGCATGACTCAAAATACAGATTTTTAAGGCTCTTTTTCAAACTTTACTCTCTTCCCTGAACCTTGTTCTTCAGTTGATGCTTTTAAAAAATTGTTTCCGTTTCATATTCACTTTGGAATTCCTACGATTCCTATCTCCCACTGCTTCTGCTTCATCTGTCCTGTTGTTTTCTCTAACCTCTTGCTGATGTGAAGTCCTCTGTGACTGCTTTTCCTAGTGGCCATTAGGTTGCCTCTTTGACTTTGCTTAACCCATTTCTGTCTTCTCAAATTTTATCCCTGATCATGGGTAAGCCCTATTACCCACCTCTTCCATGCTTCCCCCCCTACCTCCCCGAGAACTACTTAACTCCATTGTTCTTCATTTTGTTTTTTCAGTCCAATTTCTGGTTTCAGACATTCTTCTCACTGCCTCAATCATTCCTATGACCTTGTCTTTACTAAATACTGTTCACTTTATTATTCCTCATTTCTAAACTCACTTTCTCTGATCACTACCTGCTCTCTTTCAGCTCATCTGTCTTTCTCTCTTCTCTACCCTGTCACTCACTTCTTTTGGGATCTCCAGCCTATTAACCTTTCAGACTCCTTTACTCTTCTCAGCTGCCTCCTTCATTGGCCTCACTTTCTTGGACTCGCTGGTCTTTATTTTCATCTCAATCTGCTTCTCTTTATGTGGTTTCTTCGGTTCCTTCTCACATTGCCCCCCTGTCTCCATTCTTCTCCCCAGACATATTTTTTCTTGAATTTCTTAATTTCCATTCCTGCCTTTCCAAATATCTCTGAAGAGTATGTCAGCAAAACACAGCTTTGGGCTCAGCTTTGCCTTACCTCTTTTAATTCTCCTTCCAAGTGGACTTTTTAACCACTTTTATCCCACCTTTTTTTCCCTTGTTGAGTTTGCTTTCAGATTTGCCGTTCATTTTAGTTTTCCATTAATTCTTATTGCAAAATATGTCTTCAAAACCAATCCTGATTTTTGCATGACGAGATCTTTTTCAAAATTGTTCTACTTCCCAGAGCCTATTTCTGAACCAGGCTTCTCTGCCTCTAAACTATACGAGTTTGCCCCTTTTATTTCTCATCTCTTAGACCTCTCTCC